GGAGCCCGAACCCTCCCGGGGGTCAGCCTGGTGGACTGCAGCCATTTCCCTTGGGGTTATGGTCTGGCCCCAGTCTTCCTAGTGTGAATCAGATCACGCCTCGCCCTGTGCAGAACCCCACCCTGAAGCCCTGGTCCCCTGAGTGTGCCCAGCGGTGGCCTGCAGTGCCCCGTGGGAGGCCCCCTCTAGCCCCTTGCTCTCATCCAGGCAGAGTCCCCCTCCTGTCTCTGGGGCTTCCAACCTCAAACCTGAGTAATTTAATTAATCGAAAGTAATTACTTAATTGTAATTCAGCTTAACCAATTTAAGTGGCTTAACTAATTAAATTCAATTTGATGCCTCTCCTTAGGGAATGATAATAAAAAAAAGAGTGAGTTGTCACTTCCCTTGTTTTTTTTCTTTCTTTCTTTTTTTTTTAGAGAGAAATTTTTGCTATAGAGCACATGCACTCGCCCACCCAGAGAGACAGAGATAGAGAGACAGAAAGTGAGAAATCAGTCCCCAGGGGGATGGCCACACCGCAATCCCTTCTCCTCCGTTCTCCTCTCAGGATTTTGGGCACACATGCACACATGCCTGGTGTGAGATTCAAGCTGTCAGGTCTGGGATTCAAACTGCTATTGACCATGTGGGAGTCCAGCGACGTGACCATTATGCCATCTACTGGTCCCAGGAGTTGCCGTTTTCAGCATTTGTGGCTTTGACGTCTTCCTTGGGCAGGCTCAGGTCTGCCTCAGCCCTGCTGTAGCTCCAGTTCTAGAATACTGCCTGGCACATAGTAGGTGCGCAGATAACACAGACCACATGCCAAGTCCTGTGGAGAGCAGCTCAGGGAAGGCCTTGCTGTGAGTTCACGCTGCCCTCCTTTTCCATGGGTGTCACAGGCACTAGGGAGCCACAGAGGACTAGAGAGCCAGGGAAAAGAAGAGCTTCTTGGACCGATGTCCAGAACAACTGCCTCGTCCCAGCCAGAAATCACAGTTGCCACTGCCTCCCCAGCACCCTCCAAACACGTCTCCCTCCAGGCTGACTCAGAACGGGAACAGAACAGCCCACGGCTTCTGCAAGGCTGGAGCGGGTGGCTGCGGCTAAACCTGGCTTGGCAGGTGGCTCTCTTGGAGGTTGGGTGCAGGCCCTTGGCCAGGGGTGAGTGTGGGGGGGGGGGACACCTGGATGTCCATCCCCACTCCGCAGCTCCATGTTGCTCCGGAGGCGGGAGGACCCAGCCGCCCTGGTAAGAAGACAGACGCGCTGGGAAAGCCAGCTCATGCAGGTACAGATCCTCCCCTGGTTTCCAAAGGCCGAGCCCGCTCCGCCGGCGGCACAGATGCGCGCCTGCAGGCTCGGAAGTCGGCGCGCGAAGTCCACATGCGGGCCTCCCTCACGGGCTGCGGGAGGCAGGACAGGGGCCAGAGGTGCGCCTCTGCCAGCTCCGTGGCACAGCAGGAGCGCACTTCCAGCATATTGGATCCATATGGAAGCTCTGGGTCCGGTTCCCTAGTCAGCCTGCACACGGGGTGTGTGGGGAGGTGGCACGCGCCCATGACATGGGCTGGGAAGCCGCAGTCGATCACTGTGTGAGACTCGCTGTGTGAGACTCCGTGGTGTGAGGGTGCTTGAATCTCTCATTCTCATAGGAGAAAGGATAAAATGTTTGAAAAGACGATGCAGTTGAATCTCAGAGCCCCCAAAGAAGCTCATGTGTATGGGAGTGAGCTCCCCATCCAGGCGGGCTTGCAGTCAGTTGGCAGATGCCCCGTGGCAGGTGGTCAGGGAAGGGTGCATGAGACAGAGGTTGGGACTGATGGGAGTCCCTGATGGGAGATGAGGTGGGTTTAAACATGAAGGGGGGTGCTTTCCCCCCTTAGTTTGCTATGGGGTCCATATGCTCTCTGGGAGAGTCAGAGGGAAAGTGAGAACACGCCCCAAGAGGGCTGGCCACACCACATCCCTCCTCCTCCATGTCCCCTCCTTTCAGGACCTGGCATGTTTTCCAGCTGCCCGCCAGGGACGAACTGCGGTCGGCCATGTGGGACTCAGCTGCCTTAACCACCATGCTGCTCGCTGGCCCCGAGGAACGTGTCAGTTTCTAGGACTGTCGGGCTGCCGGGAGGAGCACGGGCCTTTCCTGGACGCTGCCCTGGAAGGAGGCAGACCACAACTTGGGCAGTCAGTCCCAGCCTCTGGACCGAGGAGCCAGCAGTCAAGGATGGCTAGTGAGAGGGGTTGTCAGGGGGTGCTGGGGAGGTGGGAGCCACCGCAGGGTTCTGAGGTGAGGGGCTTGAGCTGCCGTCTTGATTTTTGTTTTTAAAATATGTATGAGGTTTTGGCCATAGGGTGTGTGCATTTGCCAGAGACAGGAGGGAAGGGGGAAATCACCCCGGAGGAGTGGCCATGCCACAGTGTCCTCTCAGGGTTCTGGGCATGTATGCACATGCGTCCGGTGTGTTTTTCAGCCCACCGGGTCCAGGGCTCGAACCAGTCAGCCATGTGGTATCCATCACCTTAGCCACTCCATCACCGGCTGGCCCCTGAGCTGCTTTTAACAAGGGAGGCTGGCTGCCCTGGTCCCAGGAGAGAAGTCACCAAAGCCGCCCTGGGGCAGTGTACCAGCTCCACTTGTAATGCTGCCTGGGGAGGAAGCTCTTAGGCTGTCATCACACAGAAGGCCATGGCCTCTGCCTTCTGTCTCGGAGACTCATTAATCCCAGGTCTGGGAAGAGCTCTCTCATGTCCCACTGTCTGATGGGAAATGGAGCCATCGTGCCTCAGCGAGGGGCCTGGGCAGTCCTGTTCCCATGTCCCACCTCCGGTCCTGCCACTTGGGGCGCCGAGCTCGGTCGCGGGAGACTGCCACGGAGGCCACCATCCGTGACCTGTCAGGGCTCTGGGGGCTGGACCTGCACTTTGTAAATGTCAGCGTGCCCTGGCTTACCCCCTGGGTGCCTGGACAACCTCTGCAAAAGCTGGAGGCGTAGTGACCGGCGACGGGGGAGTGGAACCCGCGGGCTGTTGAGCGCTGGCGGATCGCGGAGGGGGCTCCCGGTCGGTGCTTCGTAAGCTGCAGGGGCCCGCGAACCCGGCTTTGCGCAGCGCGGAGCTCTGACGGCAGAGTGGTTTGCCCAGGAGTCCCCGTGCAAGGCAGCCCCCCGCCCGCCACCCACTCAAAGAGCTCGCTCAGGCCCAGGGCGGGGCAGGGCGCGGCGCGGCGCGCACAGGCAGCGGCCGTGCAGGGCAGGGGCCAAGAACTGGGCGGAGGAGCGAGCCCTAGCGGGAGCCCTGCCACGCCAAGACCCCTTCCCACGCCCAGGACCAGAGGGCGGGGTGGACGTGGCGCCCCTAGGCAGGGCGGGGTTCCCAGGGACTGGGGTCGAGTCGCCACTTGGCTGCCTCCTGGCGACCGCAAGAGGAGACGACTGGGGCTGCGCCGCTGGGACTCGCAACGCCTGGACAGAGGGAACGCGCGCGCGGGGCAGCGGCGTCCCTCCGGCCTCCTTCATTCTCTGGCAACCCGGCTACAAAGGCGGAAGGATTCTCCGCGCTGACGGCAAAGTGGCCCACACAAGGCCGGTGTTAGCCTGTCAGGCTGGGCCAGAACCAGGAGGCTGTTCTAGCCGGGGGTGGTCCTGGAAGGCTTCCCGAGGTGACATAGAATACCCAGAATGGTGAGGGGAGCCACCCACAGAAGATGGAGGCAGGAGTGTTCTCGGAGAGGGTGGTCAGTGCAAAGGCCGGGAGGTGAGAGCATGCCTTCATGACAGAAGAAAAAGCTCCCAGACCCAGGGCTGCAGGGTGGGGTCAGAGAAGCAGCCCCGTGGAGACCCGGGGCCCCCTTCCTGGGGTCAGACACCCGTCTCTCCCTGGAGGATGGAGCCCCCCCCATACCCGGAGGTGCAGTCAGGTGACTCCTCTGGAGTTTGACCTGAGGCTCCCCATCACACCCCATGGCCCTGGAGCCCCGCCTGCAGGGCGGGTGGGAGCCACTGGTTGGGGGGGGGGGGGGGGGAAGC